GGTGTGCGGGTCGTGGAGCGGTTGGACTGCCCAAGCAGCTCTCCCGCCTCTCCTCGGGTCTCCCCTGTCGGCCGGCCGCCGTGCAAGACGAGGTGCACGGCCAGAGCTGGCCGAGAAGCTGTTACTGACCGACCGGCAACTAGCTGGGCAGGGAGGGCAGGTTTGGAGCCGGGAAGATGGGTGCCGCCCCAGGAACAGGGCAGAGCCACAGAGTGGTAAAGCATTAGGGTCGGCAGCAGTAACGAAGTTATCAGGAGCGAGAAGCAGCTTGGGACTATGAAACATTCGCAAGCTGGAGGAAAGCCAGTGCTAGCTCTGTATCCCAGAAGGAAGCATCATGTATAGTATGGTATTTCCATTGATTACCGTTGCACCATGCTTTTCTCTGTTTCATGTCTTCATTTTCTATTTAAGTTGGCAGTGCTTCCAGAGAAAGTAGATTTTTCTTCAGTCATGTGCACGTTCCACAGAACAGTAGTAGTTCAACTCTGAGGCTCATTTGTGTGATGGTGGAATTTCTTTGATATGGAGACATGTATTTCAGTTTTTTTCTTTCCTAGTTTGTTTTATATTCTCTTATGGACAGACTTTTGAAGAAGGAAGTGAAGCTTGATGATTCATGCCAATTCCCAAATATGTAATTACTTCCATTTGTTCACTTATCTTTCAGAACCTCTGTACACACTATCAAGTGAGGACCATTCAAAGTCAAATGTCCATGTTCAGCTTGTTGGTGATAAAGTGGTAGGTGTTGGCCAAAGATAGCTCACATGTGCACCTAATATTTTTGTGGAAACTCTGTCTCAGTTCTAAGCAGCTGCCTTAAAACAGCAAAATACAAAGCAAAGGAAGCAATTTTATCTAAAACAAGACTTCACACAAGGAGTAACCATGATTGCTGGCCTAGGGTAACTCTGCAGCAGCAGTCTAGAAATGCTCAGTTTCACATCCTGAGGAATTTCCTAAACTGTGTGTCAGTATTTTTAATAGAATATCTCCAAATGCTGTTAACAATAGCTTGTATATGTTATTAAGAGCTAATGAAAGAACTGGACGGCTGTTGGGCTGTTGTTCAAGCAGAGCTGTTAAAACGTGTTATTTCACACGGTGCCTCTTCACTTACCTTGGGATATACTCACACTGCAGCTCAAGGTAGCATACTTAGTTTAAAATGTACTAGGTAGCAACAGCTAAGCAGCCTGTAAAGACTGCAAACCCATCCTGATTCTTCATACTAGGTTAGTGCAGCTTAACTTCCTAGTTAAGCCCTCAGCTAGTTAGCCTATGCTTAGCTCCCTACTGAATTTGCTCCCTGCTATCTATATTCACCCTACCTAGTTTAAAACCAGGTAGGGCATGTCTGTGGGAGTTGCAATCACACCTCTAGACGGCAGTGATTGATGACTGGACAGGCTGCTTATAGGTAGAATACCAAAGGAAAACGGATTTGGTATAACTGCACAATGAATTGGATTTTAAACAGAGTCCTCCTGAGGCTATGCACTTGACTGAGCCTGCAAGACAGATATTCTGAACTCTGAAACTCCATTGCTGTACAGCGAGGAGAAAATCCCTGAGCAGCTTTCCAACAATGGAATCAAGAAACATTTTTTTAAATAATGTTTCTGGGTGTCTCTTACTCCATTATCTCAGACTCTTTCTTATATCCAGCTGCAAAAAAATGTGTGTTTGTCTGCCTCTCTGTAGAGAGACATACACATGGACCTGAAAACATTGCCTGTTTTCAGAGATCTTTGCAACAATATGGCTGTGTTAACAGTTCAGGCCAGACAAAGTAAGCAGGCATACTGTCACTAATGTTGTCACGTCATAGGTGTAATTTTGCAATGGGTATGGTGACAGACTCTGATTTGCATAAAATATGTTTTAAGCATATGACTCAGCAAGTGTGTAATGTGCAATACAAAACAATACAATTTTGAATTCTTAGTCTATAGCATCATAAAATGGGGTGGACAAGGGTTGTAATAATATTAGTTTATAGGGTTTTGCAAACTCTTGAAAGTTGTATTCACTTTCAAGAGAAATGAAACAAAAATGCAGTCTCATACACAGCAAGCAGCTATCATCTCATACACAGCAAGCAGCTACTCATAGTAGGTTCCCTAGTTGTTCATCATCTGACACTCTCTTACACTCTGGTGAGTTAGGGTACTTGAAATGTCACCACTACCCTATATGCATCTGAGTTAGCACCCACTGAAATGAAAGGGGCAATTCACAATTCAAATCTAATTTCAGGCTTTACAGAAGCTCAAGCCAGTATAGCTACATCACTTATACTTGAGTCACGATTGCAAAAATTTATTGGCAACCATAAATTTAGAGATTTAAGGCATATCTACCCAGGGAAATGAGTGCTTAGAAGGAAGGGTGTGGATTTTTAATGTGATCATTTTTGTGTGCTAACTCCCCTCCAGATATTTTTAACACATGCTAAAACCATTACAGTATAACATAATATACTTACAGAGTATAAGTAACTTTACTCTGTAAGTGGAATATGTTACTTCTTTCTAGTGCACACGAAATAGGAGGCAGTTACATGGGGTAATGTGCTAGAAGTTCACCTTACTGCACGTTCACAGTTACTGCACACTAACTTCTTTATGTAATGAACTGCTAGACCCTTCGATTTTGAGTATAAGTTTAGATGCTGGGAAACAGCCAGAAGATATATCTCTGCATCTGCTGCTAGTCTGGTACGCTTCACATCTTGAGAAGTCCCACCTAACCAGCTGACATCATTAGCATATGTATGCCGCCTTCTTTCCCCATCCCAAATGTGCAGTCCTGTAAATCACAGCAAGCTGAAATTCTAATCTCTTTGATGCTATTTGAAATCGCTAAATCACCACCTCTCTTCTTTGTGTCCACACAAACATTAGGTAAAAGCACCGATGTTCAGAAGTATGTTTAGTAGCTTGATCCATTTCCCAGGCTACATCTTGGAGGGCAAAGATCCAATGCATCCATTTATTGACCAAAGATGGAGAGGGAGGGCTCAGCAGCGCCTGGAGGCTCTTCAGCAGCTTGCTGCGTAAGTGTTCTATGCTTGGATAATTTAAAACAAACATACAAACAAAACCAACAAAAACCTATGCACACTGAAGTGGAGATGACTGCAATTTGCTCCTACTTATATTTCCCTTGAAATTAAGAGATTGCAGCTGTTGTGGAGTATGGTTGCCCATCTGTTTCTTACAGAGTGGATGTTGCACATTCCATCATCCCTGTGCTATCTACTTTGCAGCGGTTCCCAGAAAGAAAAGAGAGTTATTTCAATCTCTTAAGAGATCAGATAAGTTATGAAGCCTTCAGTAACTCATGTGTGTTACTTCAACAGTAGCTGTTTCCTTTTAGTCCCGTGCAGTTGCAGCTGGTTAGATTGCTTTTGCTGCTCATTCAAGGGTGTATGGGGCCTAAACCAAGACACCACATTTTTAGTGCAGGGGTTTCTTAGTTGAACTTTCTCCTGGCATCACAATTTGGGCTTCTGATTCAGCAAATATTTTAAAAAACATTTATGTGTTTTGCCACACCATGTGTTTTTTGGAGTCCTCTTGTAGGTGCATTCAAGACTGCAGGTGTCAGCCCAGGTAGTTGTTTTCAACTGCATTGAAACAAGGTTTTGCTGCATTAACAAGCTAACTTTAGACCATGGGCTTTTCATACAATGCGCACTCTGCAGTTGCTGGTAACTGAGTTCTACCACATGCCAGACAGTAATGAAAGATGTTTAAAAGTGATACAGTGGATGTCACACCTGTTTTTGTCATTTTTTCAAAAGCACATTCTTCTCATTTCTACAATAAAATAAGAATTTTTGAGCCTTTCTTTTTTCTTATTTTCAGCAAACTGTCCCCAGCACATTAAAACCTCAATGGCTTCTTGTATCTTGCCTGATATTCTGTAACAAGAACTTATTTGATGCCTGAGGTACTTTAAAATTAATTTACATTTCAACAACATGTATATGCAGAATGTCTTGCAATTAACAAAAAATGAGAAATACATCCCGTCCATTTCAACCTGCACTGATTGACAGTGTTGCTGATACAGAAGACAGAATATTTCCCAGCTGTCTTCTCAGTAGTTGCATTGCCTCTGCAAGGTTACCAGAAATAAATGCTCATTTACTTCAGCAATGTCAGCAAATATAAGTCAAGGACGTGCAAGAGGCAGGATCTGTGGAATAAAAGGGGCTATTTCACTGGGTTCCCATTGTGCCTGTAACTATACCATAATAGGATGAACAGCTTATGCTAATAAAGTTAGATCATAAGAATAAGTGCCCACCTGTGCTGAATGAAACACAAATCCATCTGGATGGAGCAACAGTCTTATATGTAAAGAGTCAGCTAGTGGAACTAGCCATCAGCTCAATTAACTCATTTGAATTACAAACACAACTTCACAATAATAGGTTGATTAGTGCTGAGCAAGTATCTCAGGTTACTGCACTGCATGTCAAAAACCTTCCCCTCCCTTTTGTTATGCGGTATGACTGAAAGCACTGGGAAGACATGACTTTAAACTTACCTTAGCAGTAAATTGTATGTCACAGGAGGTTAATGAAGCATCTCTCTATACACTTTGCTGTAGTGGGTAGCCATACTGTGCCTCCCTGAGTTCCACAGCACAGCTTGCAGGGTTTAGATGAGGTCTTTGAAGATAACTGATCTCAGCATACAAGCCTCTGTTTTGATCCCAGCTGTCTAGCAATGTTATGTATTGTTAACTGTATCTCTGTAAATATGCCTCTGTATTTAAAATTAGGTAGCAGCAACCAACTTCAGCACCCAAAATCCCATACATCTGAGGTCAGGATTCTTACCAGTTGCCAAAAATGGTCTTATGAAAAACACGACCTTCAGGACTTGCCATATATAGCTTAAAGGAAATTACTTACCTTCATGGCATGACATGGCCTTTTTTTTTTTTTTCCATTAAGAACTTCTGTTTCTTGTCTTTAACCACTTTGCAGGTTGAGGAGAGTACGACTGGAATATAAAGTGGTTCTGAAATCAAGTAGCAATCCTGATGCATATCTTTCAAAGGACTCAATTCTACCCATTCTCTTGCTGACTGCCTTAATAAGGTCTACCCCATGGTCTTCCAAAGCTTTAAAGTAAAACCCTCCAAGATGTTATAGTGAAAATTTTAAACAGTCTGCCTATTTGAATGAAAATGAAAAAAGAATGTTCTTGCAAAAGATATACTTGTTCCAGCATAGGTTTCGAAACATTCACATGGTCATCCTAATTTTTCTCCTCTATCGGAGAATTCAGATTGAAATTGCTCATTCTAAAATTTTCTACATTTGCTCAAAACTTCCTTAGCTATTTTTGAAAGAGAGTGGTATTCTTCCGCTTTGTTCCTTATATTCCTTTACAAATATTTTCTGTTATGGAAAGTTTTTCACTCTTAAGGAAATGAGCTTGTTCCCCCCTTACCCAATAAAAGTGGTTTACTTTGCAAGGTCATTTACAAGTGGCCAATCCTTTTCATGACAAGCATGAAGAAAGTTCTATTAAAGGCAGCAAATGACTATTTCTTGCCCACACATGGTAGGGAATATACATAAAGTGTCAAATTGTCTTGCTATGTACATAAGTATGAAAAGAGCAAAATATAATTGCTTGCATAAGTATGGGGATTTTGTGGACTTTGTAGTGTGTATGTTTGATTGTGCAACCGGAGAAGGAAAGAGAGAAGGAGAAAAAAAAAAAGAAGCATAAGAAAAAAAGATCAGAACTACTCTGAATGTAATTCTTCAATAACAGTAAGGAATCCTGTATTTTGGCTTTTAGACCTCAACCTTCACTTCAGATATCTCAAATTGTGTATGAAGATCCTGAAGTTAGCGGAAGGAATCGCTACAAATATTTTGCACGGTAAGGAATGAACTGATTTGAAATGAGTTCAGAAGCTTGCTTTTGTGAAGTTTAGCGTACCTAAATATATGCCCAAGCCTTTTTTTGTGTGTGTGTATGTCTTTTCTGCTGGTTCTTTGATCACTGTTATATAAAATCTAAATAGTAACCAAATCTTAAATCACAAGGTCTTTTAAAATTCACACTATGCCAGAATTTTCAGGTAATGAGTTACCATATAAGCAATTGTACCAGGCATTCTGTTCTTAATTATTCGTAGAAAACTTTGGACTGCAGATCCTCCTACACAAAGGAAGAAGGTGCTTACAAAGCTGTTGTGATTCTCCAGGTTCCTGGAAAGGTGCCTTCTTAAGAAGGAATCTTTTAACTCCTAGTTTGTGCCAGGAGCAGAAAAGGAGCGAAGGGAATCCTTGATTAACTTTTCATCGATGTCCTCTACTGCAGGACTGCTCTGCTCCTTCCAGAATGACACTGCAGGTCAGCAGTGGACTCAAGATCTGAACCAACAGCTAACGTACAAACATGCTCAACTTAGTCACAGAATACTTTGAATTACATTCCTTATTACAGTCAGCAGTTTTTGGCCAACACGTCCACTTTAAATATAAAAAAATTGCCAGGTTTAATAAATTGAACTTCTTTATGGCTCCTTTAACAACAAAAAAAAAAGAACAAAGATGATGTTACCTTCTGCAATTTGAAATTAAGCTTTAAAGTCTCTCAAAGGCTAAGGGAAATTGATATGCAAACTATAAGAATGCCTAAGAAGGAATTATTAATATGTCATTGAGTCCATATCACTTTTAAGATATTTCATAAAATACTGTAAACAAAGGAAGCAATCAAATTAGATAAGTCCAAATCAGCTTAGCTTACCAGCTGATTGTAGAAATTAATTTCAGGATTTCAAGAAATTATTAAAAAAAAAACCCTCTCAAAAGCTCAAAGTGAAAAAGTAAACTAATTAGTGAAATGTACAAAAATGTGAGCCCACTCAAAACTAACTTCTTTTAATTATTGCCTTGTTTTGCACTTCCACTTTCTGCTTTGACAGAAGAGTAACACTCACTCCTACTGGTGAAACTTTCTTTGTTGCTCCTTAGCTATGAAAGAATTATTTAGTATTCAGGCACAATTCTTAAACATGCACTGTAGAACCTGAGTCGTGGAAAATCAGTGTAACTCCACTGAAATTAGTGGTCTGCAGTTTTTCTAAACCATAATGATCTTTTATGCTCATGGTTGCTGTCTTACACCTGCATTCTCTCTTTTCAGACCTCTCATCCCTTCTAATAAGCTGCTTCCACTATATGTCCCTTATGCAATGGCAAAGTAAGTAGTGAGTTCGGGAACAATGCTGTTGTAATGGGTCACATCTCACCAGAAAAAGATTGGGTAACTATTTAGCTGGTGACAAATATTTTTTGTGATGAACCAACAGGAAAAAACTTGTTAAGAGGTAAGAGTTTGTTCATCATTGAGAATTCCTGAGGAAACAGTCAGGTGACTGACTGTTTCAGAATTTCAGTATATAAGTAGTGCTTTGTGGGTAAAAGACATGTACCTTGAGTGTGTTAGGATTTTGAGGCCTGAAACAGAACGCCAAGTGTCTCTGAATCCTAGAAAAGATACCAATGCAAAGAAGATTCTCCAATACAGCAATATTGTTGGAAAATCTTCTGATCATTTATTACAATCTCTGTGACAGTTGCACTACTGTTTAGTGGTGTAGAGCATCCACAAGGCAGTCTAATGGGCTTTTCAGGGGGGGATCAAATTTTGAGGGAACATAAGAAGATTCATTTCCTCATAGTCAATGGAAGTTGCATGTGCTTACATCAGAATAGAATTTTTCTTCTGGAATTGTTGGAAAGACAAACATGTAAACTAAATTGAAGCAGTCCTACTTCATTTTATACTCAACCATTAGTTACTTTTTCTGCCCATTAAAAACAATGCTTTAGAATGTATACATAGGGAAGATTTGCATGTAATAACTTGTGAGAGCTGAAACCAGATTTCTGGATTGCTTACCTAAGGAGGGAGGTTTCAGAGGACTCGGTGTAGCCTCAGTCTGCTTTTACTAAAGATAATGGAGTTAGCATCAATGGGAGCAACGTTAAGGTAAAACAAACCACATTTGGACAGCCTGCCTTTGACTTAGTGTTGTGTTTCTGGTTTGGGTTGTTTTTTTTTTAAACGAGTGTGACAAATGTTCTTCCATCTTGCATCTCTTTTTTAGGACAGAGCCCTACGTCCATTCAGCTACAGGAGACAGCAAGGTCTTTGGTCCCAAGTTACGAACTTTGGGCACACAAACAGATTACAGGGATGGTGAAGCCCAGACGGATCCCTTTTCCTCTGAATATGTAGTTCCCAGTGGCTCAGTCCCTGAGCTTCTGACACTTGCTACACTCACTTGGGGTGAGTTGTGAAATTGAGATAAGTTACAATAATCATGTCACCTCTTTAGGAGGAGGTTCTCTTTTTTTCAATGTCAGGTTTCAAGTCTGTTGCCAGCTTTGGCAGCCCTTTGTTGTCTTGCTTTGGGGAACGCTATTTTATCTATTTCTAAAATATGTATGATATTTTCCTACTTAATAGCGCTGTTCTGGGGCATTTCATAAAGAGTTTTGAGATCATTCAATACAAAAAGGTCATGTTTTGCAAATAGGAACTAGTAGCAGTTTTTCCATTACCATTTAACTACATTTTTTACATTAGTGTTTCCATTTGTTCTTCATCTCTTCTGAGTTAGACATCAGTAAAAAACCCAGTATGAACACTGCTGCTCCAGAACATACATGTGATCGTCATCACCCAGTGTCGCACCCACAATGGACATGCCAAAGAAAGTGCTCATTCTCAGAAAGTGTCTTCTTGGAAAAGTTTTTCCTCCTTTGCAGCCTGCAGTAGAGGATTGAAGCGCTAGTGTTATAGTCAACTAAGCTATAGCAACCGCAGGTCCTACCATTCCTCATACTGTAGAATTTTACTGGCCCTAGAAGTATTTACTTCTGGCTATTTACAGCTCTGCTTGTGTTTAACAGACGGGCTTGTGCCCAACATATGGGCTTGTGCCCATCCAGCTCTCTAAAGCTTTGGTGGTGGTGGTTATTTGCTGGATTCACCATTCTTCTAAAGAGCTACTTCTTGCCCTTGTAAGGTCGGGGGCTACCAGCAGGATTAGCCGAGGTGGAGATGATTGAACGTGCCCGGGAAAAACGTGCATGGGAAGCAACTCTTCCAGCAATGGACAGTGCCTCACAAATCGCAAAGAGGAGGAAAATGATGGATGATATGGAGAGGAAGGAGTGGGCCTTTAGAGAACAGGAAATAGAAAAGTAGGAGTTCAATTATACTCTTTATTTCTTTTAATTAATGGCTGAATAGAGAAGGAACAGGAAGATTTAGGGGATTGGCTGAAGGGTTCAAGCCTTTTATTTCTGTGAAAATCTCCTGAGTTTGGGAGGGGTTATTTTTGTTAAATTTAATATAAGAGACTGTTACCACAATACTTTTCACCAGTGGTGAACTTGCTTTTTTAAAATGAAAGATTAAATACGAGATCTGCAATATGAACTATGTTTAAAGTAGTCAGTTGGTATGTAGGATTTGGTGATGACAGCATTGCACAGAACACTGCAGAGTACAGTAGGTCATACCTGGCCTTTCCTTTCCTTTCCTTTCAGGTTGCAGGAAGTTCGACTGGAAGTCTTAAAGAAACTGCTGCAGAGACGACAGGAGAATCAGAATAAGCTGGATGCCAAGCGCTTGGATGACCACTGGCAAAATCATCAGAAGGCTAAAGAGGAGAAAATAAAAAAGATTCAGCATGACTGTGCACTCAGTAAGTTTGAAAACCAGGGAGGGAGTAGTATGAGACTTAGTTTTCAGACAAGCCATTTTTATTTTCACAAGGTTGCAGTCTTTATTCAAGATGAAACAGGTTGCCTCCACAATATAGATATGCATGGCCAGCATTTGTTCAGGTCAAACATGTCACATTTATATTAACCAGCAAAAGCTTTTGTGAATTTCTGAAGATGGGGCTTTTATTAGAACTATTTGTACAAAGAACCTTTTTGCATTTGTATTTGCTTTTCAGTGCTCAGGAAACTGATAGCTAAGAGGAAGAATGTGATGGGGAAGCTGGAGAGACGAGATATCATCAAAGAGTATACTGACTTTTCATCACAAACATACGCTCCTTTGTCTAGAATTGGTTATTTCCCAGACAACCAAGCCGAACGCTATGTGGTAAAAAACTTCTACCTTAACACCTTTGCAGGTAAGTCAATTTGGAAGACTTAGTTTGTATGAGATGCTTAAAATATTAACAAAACTCAAATTTCTTTCCCCACCACTCGATTACTTAATCACCATTTGTATTTCTTAGGACTGTGTGAACTGGAAGCATCTCTCCCAGATTCTGTCACCCAGGTCAAGATTAAAGCTCCAAAACCTAAGTACACTACCACTAAGACTGGATTTATTAAAAGATCAGCAAGGCTAGAGGTGCAGCTGGCACAGGTTCACCAGGTATGGAGCTGCATCTAGCAGCATGTCAGTTCCTCTTAGATTTGAACAGCTCAGAAATGCAATCGGGAAGGCACATGTGTAAGCTTTCTCCCAATTTCCTGTGCTAAATTCGTATTTTCTGTAAGACAACTTCAAGAACAGAATGGATCGGACATTCAGACTGTTGTAGGCATGACCAGTACCGTTCTGGAACTCAGTCTGTCAGTTCTCTCCCTAACATCTGTCCTTCTGCTCTAACCCTATAGAAAACAAGCGTAGCTGTTTCTGTCTCCCTACAGATCAGGGATTTGGATCGGAACCTATTAGGTCAGTTAGAAATCCTCTCCTGACATTTGCTCATTCTCATTTCTCCCTTGCTTTTATAATGCACACATGGCATGCCTACTGGTTACACTGTCAAACTACTAATAGTTAAATAAACCAAATCTGGATTCATATTCTAAAAATTCTGTACATTTTAAAAAATTTACATCTTAAGTACAAACTGTAAAAGCACCTGCAGCAAAGCATGATTAAAATGACCCCACTCATAAAATCGGATCAGAACAGTTTGCAAACATGCTAATAGTGTTTTGCATATCTTAATTTATCACAACTGTTCATGCAGATGAGGTGTCCATATATGCAATTAACCACTGAGGAAAGAAGTGCCTCATGCGCATCTACAATCACAACATTTGTAAATTACATGTACTTTTAAGTTCACTTCTTGTGATGCTGTTGAGGGTTACCTTTTTTAAAAATCAGGCATATTCTTGGCTGGCTGCTGTATCTCTGAAAAATATTTAATTATTTCATTTGTAAAGCTTGGCAACTTTCACTTGTGATTTATTTAGTAAATATTTCATAATTGGAAATTATGTGTATAGCTTTCTTGTTGTAGTGTAATTTAATAATACTCTCAATGGAGACAGTAACTTTCTACTAATGAATTTTAAATTGAAATCTTGTTCTGAAAAATCAATCATATTATCTCAAATTTAAATTCCACTGGATCTTGTAAAAGATGAAACATTGCATCTGATTATTATTCAGAAGGAAAATTTTCAAAGAAAATCCTGAGTGCTATGGGAAGCGTTCAAGAACTAAGGACATCAATTTACTACAGTTTTAGATAAGATGACACAGCAGTATTGAAGGGGTTTGAGTTTGGGTGCTTTTTGCATAAAATTCAAGTAGTGACTGTGTATAATCTGGATCATAACACAGTTCTCACTGGCAGCAGAACGTTAGCCCAAGCTTTCAGAGCTGAATTCCAATTGCAGCAATTGTATTCTGTTTGTTCAAAATACTTCTCATGGTTTGAAGGACTACAGTGGAGCATCTAAAGTGTAGTCATGGAGAAGGATGCCCTAATGCTGGCTGCTCACACAATAATGTCTCTTCAAAGAAAAATTGGTGACCAAAGGGAGATGGAATGCGGAACAAAAAGCAGACAGTTCTGCATATTTTCTTTCTTAAATCAATGTAGATCACTTGGTCTACATTGATTTATATCAACTAAGGGGCTAACATAACTAATACTCATTTCTCCACTAGCAAAAGACAAAATGTATATTCTTTTAAAATCACAAAGCATTTCCTTTGCAGGTAAAGATGATAAATCCACTATGCAAAATATAACTGCTGCTTTTAGATACACAGAAGTAGACACCAGACTGGTTTGTCCAGACAAGCAGGAAGTACTGACACTGGTGAAATACCCAGATTGCCTCAGCCACCATTAGATTTAAAGAAACTTTGTTTTCAGAGCAACAAGAAATTACTGCCCTAATTAGCGCTTGATCTCTGTGGTGCTGTTACTGGTCACTTCTTCCATCAGAGGCTCTTGCTTCTTAGGTTTGATGGCTATAGCATGTTCTGGCTTAGCAGGGCCTCTTTTGACAGGTCCACCTCATAAGCTACTGGAGCTGTCAAGAAGGGGGCAGTAAAAAGTGTGCAGTACTTGAGTTAACAGAATTTAGCACTCGAGAGGACAGCTATCTGACCACTTGGCATAAGCAGTCCCGATCACGCCAACAAACTCTGTCACACACATCATGAAAGAGGTTTAAAGCAGGCAATTAGGGATCATCTTAGAAGGGCACTGTGTTGCTTTGCATTATTTCTATAGCTGAACAGCTAGACCAGTTTTCTCTTCAAAAGCCTCTTTTCAGTGCTGTCCTAGCACACTTAATCTATACATTTTCTCACATAATCCTAGAAATAAAGCAGAACTCTAGAAAATTCAGGTGGTGCACAGTGATCTAGCTCTAGAATTAATTTCTTTCATTTGCCCTGGATGTTCTGTGGACAGAGATGGCAAATAGAGGAGGAATGCTAGATTTTGACCTCAGAAGTAATTGATTTTAATAAAGGAAGTTTCCACGACTTGCTTCTCTGGCCAAACAAGTGGCAAGATGATAGACTAGTCCTCATTATGTTCCTCTTGGTTTGCCATATTGAGGGTTTTCCTAAGCTTAAAGCTTGTAGGAGGGATAAGCAATTATCCAAGGAGCTACAAAAAGGATCTGTGTCCTCTTGAGAATAAGGACAGCTTCTTCCAGATTTGAAACTAAGCCCCCCCAAAAAAAAGAAAGTTATTTTAGAAGCAGACGTTTTGAGGAGCATCCTGAAACCTTTTGCAGGAGTATTATGTATGCTCCGTATTCTTTGAATAATTCTCTAAAACAAGGGAGCATGGCAGAGACAGGAGTGACCCAGGATTTACAGTAAAAACAATGATCTGTATCTTAAGCAAGATCTGTAAAAGGACAAGGAAAGCTACTTCCTAGCCTGCGCAGATGATAATGTTTTAAGGAATGTAAGAAGTGAGCCATTATATAGACAGCCTTGTGTGAAAATCCAAGTCATTAAGGAGATGATAGCATACTGATATAGCTAATTACTATAGGAAAGAAATGCAACTAGGTAACTGAATATACCAAGGAACAGAGGAGCTGCTAGAAGAAATCCCAGTGCAGAACAATGCGTGACTTGAGGCTGACTGTGTATGCTCTGGTGACTCAAGAGGGGTGAAGTGTCAGGTAGTTTCAAAGTGCTGGATCAAGATGATGTCAGAACAAAGAATCTCTCACCTCAGCGTTAAGTGCAATTCTCATCACGTCTGTTTTCCTTTATCCGGTTGCTGGAAGGAGGTGGAGAAGGGGGGGGAAGAATGTCTCTGGAGAAAATCTGAGCCAACTTCAAAGCATAGGAAAACCTGTTCAAGCAGTTATTTCATCAAGAACAGATCTCCAACACAGCGTTAGTTGGCTCATGCTCAGACAAGCTCTAAGAGCTATTATGTCAGTCTTGATGAGCCAAGATGCAGCAGCCATGCTGCATTGCAAAGTAGGTAGTCAGTCCATCCTTGATGATCTCACCTTCTTCAGTTGCAAGCAAAAAGGAAGAGAGAGAGAAACATGACTGTGTTCTTGGTGCTGTACATGAAAATAAAATATACCTAATGTCTTGTGAAAAGGAGATGATCACAGAGAAGATAAGGAAGGAACCTAAAGAATGATTTAACAGAGAGTTGTTTCTCAAGCCACTATCCTGTCAAGAGTTCTGCTTCTATCAGAAGCTAGCAAAGAAGCTAAAGTGCATGGCCAAAAGCATGGGTGCCATTTGCTGTTCACTGCATTTGCCAGGAAAATGAAAAGGAGATGAATTGGGTGGTCCTTCACTGTCCAGTCCAACCAGAGTATACCATGACTCTGAACCTACCACCTGAAAAAAGTAATGTAGTCTATCTCAGAAAAATTAGAGTGTGATATGTAGGCAGTAACATTTGAAGCATGTTGTTCAGAAATTTAGCACTTTTTTCTTTTTATAAAAAGTATTTTACAGCAATTCTTGGGCCCTCATCTCCCTATTTCAAAAAATGGTAATTTGTTAAGTTAGGCAGAACTAGTTAATGCAAAAAACATATTTTCTCTTTCTTTTCTTACATTAAAGCCTTAAAATAACTTGAAACCTCAGATTAGAGAAAGCAAATGGTAAGCATTTTTGACTTAGTAATATAGCAAAGCAGGCACTAGACTGTGCTGCCATGAAAACATAAAACCACTTCTGGAAACTGCAGAATTTCTCAAATCCACATTAATAAGAATTCCCTCTTGTCAGAAGTGCTCATAGATTTTTTCTGTCTTTAAAAGTTTTTATTCGGGTTGTATTTTGTTATTCTGGTTAGCAAGAAATATTTTTGGAGGCTAAGGTTTTATTAGAAAAATACTTATGAGTGCAACATTGTACTAACAAACATAGGAGCTATTGTTTTCAAAAGTATTACAATTACAGCAGCTTTTTTCTTTCAATTCCCCCGCCCCCATGCAAAACACCTTATAAATCATAGCAAGTACTGTTATAATCTTCATGACAGAGAGCTCAAAGGTCACCAAATAAATACACAAAACAGTTCAGAAAAATCTCTCAACATTTTTGAGCTATAACCATTTCATGTGGCTTATAAGCAGTTTATAGGCTTTGATTCTTGCATTATTAACACGGTCCATTTCAGAAGTTTTCAATAATAAAGCATTTTATTCCCTCCACCTAGAAATCTCTCTCCTTTTCTGGAGCCATTAATTATCCTGTCCTTAAAGGTCAGATCCAATATGCAAGAAGAGTTTTGTACAATGACCACTGGAGTTTCAAAACTTCATTAATTTTGCAATTAAATTCTGTGTAACTGCCATCAATTTCCTGTTACTGGAGAGAGAAATTCAGCATAGGATTTTTTTCTTCAGTTTTTCTTCGGTTTCCCTCCCTAGTGAAATACTGTATTAGAACATTTGAAAGAGGGCGAGCGAGAAAAGAAAAAGGTGCACTTTTCCTTGCCGGAATATGTTCTTTCAGTAATAAAGACTATAGATCCAACTCATACAGTAGTAGGATTATAATCCTGAAGGAGCTTTAAATGCACATACTCTCTTCCCTTTTCTTTGTGAGCCGAAGCATGGTGTCCTACAGCAGGCAAGCATTCGCATGCAGTTGGAAATGATTATCTGAATATCTTGTTCTAAGTAGCTTGCGATGGGATGTTGGCAGGACTTTGACTCTCTAAACAGTTTGAAAATGCCTTCAAAGAGTTGAGGCCATGGTGGCGTTTCCACTCCGAGCCTGCTTTGGCTGACAAGGTTTGGCATCTGCCACCGAACAGCTGCAAGCAAGGGAAAACCCACTCTTAATGGACTTGTGGATTTTCGTGGTAGAAGGAAGTTCTCAGGCAAGTTAGTTTCCCTTTCCCCTTTGGTTCACTTGTACAATTGCTGTGGATGCCACTGGGCTGCTGGGAAGTTACAGATGAGCAGAGAAGAGTTTCAAAACATGTTTTGTAAGGAAGGAGTCCTGGGTCATTCAGTTCAACCCTATGCAGTAACAGTGTATCTTACAAAGACATTTCACTGAGGAGGGGCCACAGAACAGTGACAATATGCTCTTCAAGTGACCCCCTTCATAAAATCTCCTGACCACCTAACATTTCTAACCCGCAGTAACAAGCATTATACCTATAGTTAAAGGCAAAGAGTCATAACCATTCTCTAGTGATATGTAAACCATAATTAAATAGTGATATTCCTACCCATTTTTCCTGTTTTGAAAGAATCTTACCTCTATCTTACAGGAAAAGAATTAATGTTTTTGTCATTACATAAGGAAAAAACCACACACACAATTGCCTCTGCTTGCATATGGGGCAGTGTTTAATAATGGATTCAATGAGATTCCCATTTTAAAATAAAAAAATAAATCTGAAATATGCTTTTATTTAAGCATGTATTATGTTAGAGATTAAGTTCATACCAATTTTGGATTAATTTTAGGTGACTCACCCTATGCAATTGCTGATGACTTACTTGTAAATATAGTAAAATAACTCTCACTTCCTTCTTACATAGTACTTTGAAGTTCCCATCAGTATCTTCTGACCAACCAATAGCCTCATGTACTGACCATATCCAGTTTTTCAGTTGATGTGCAGTAAGAAATGGAAGCCACAAGCCTGCAAAGTGCAAAATACTTTCAGCTCCCTGTTGAGAGTGTGATTAGCACCAGTCAACATCTAGAGGACTGGCCTTATTGTGCTGTTCTATCTAGCCCAGTTCTGATTAAATTGTATGTCTATTCCAGGCACTACTGGAGAAGAAGAATAAAGTCAAGGAGCCAAAGAAGCCCCTTCGTTTCCTTGAAAAAGTAGAAAAACCTGTTCCTCGGCCACCCACTCCAATCCTGGAAAAACCAGCAATTGTAAGTCAGCCCACTTACTTAAACCATCCCGTTTTAGTACTTTTTTTTTCTGTTGATCCCCGATAGTTTCCTACACAGTTGTTAAAGGAATGCCCACAGAAGGAACGAAGTGAGCTTTATCTTTTTTGTGTATATTCATGTTAGAAATAGCCATCGTTATTTCTGAAGACTCTCTTAATCTCTCTTTATTCTATAAAGATACTAGCAGATAAATAATTGAAAATCTTTTACAATATCTGTTCGTCAAATCCTTAGCTAAACTTTATTTTATGAAGACATAAGTTAGTAGACATGTTATTTTCTTGTTCCTGGGGAACAGAAAGGCAGAATCATATTATTATTTGAACCTTCTGATCTGACAACAATATCGCAAGTTTAGTCCCATTGAAGTCAGTGAGACTTTGGGTGCTTAGCACTGAGCATGCACTTCATTAATTTGCTGGAGTGAACTCTTGTCATCATGCAGGATGCAGTCTTTGATGAGCATGCTCCAGTTCACAGAAGATGATTCTTCTGCAGAAATTGAAATAACAGTAATGATGTGTCATGGGGGATGTGACATGCTGTAGGAAAAATCAACTTTTTAGGGGAGCTGCAACTTCTTTTCCTTTCTTGAAGTAATGTACTTAAGAGGTGGTTGCCCCAGTGGATTGCTTTGTCTGCTTATTAACACCATTTTCATGATGTAGTAAGAATCAGACACAATTACCATTTGAACTTGTGAATTTAAGAGTCACACAACCATAAAAGCAAGAGAAAGTCTTAGTAGATCATCCACACTGTCTTCCTTCATGCAGTGTGATGTCCTATGTTTCATACAGTCTATATTAAGATGACCGAAACAAGAATATCTCCTTGGGAAGAGCTTTCCACAGCTTTACTAACTCCTAGGTATTAGATATTGTATTGCAGTGGTAGATTTACACTATTTAGATTTATCAGTTTAGGAGATTTTTAAGTACTTCCAGGTAACATGGAAAGAAATCAGAAAGATTTATCCCCAGATGTAGTCATTCCTGAGTGAGTTTACAGATTATAGGGGGTTTTTTTTAAGAGTTCCAATACAATAGAATTCCACGTAAATGAATTCTGTCAACATTTAGTTTATTTTCAAGTTTCTTGATGTATGAACACATAAAAGAGTGGAGCTCTCCGGTGAAGCTCCATCTGTAAAATCAGGCCACTTCAGCTACTGAAGAGCAGCACAAACATCTCCTGCCTTGCAGAATCAAAGTAAGGTTTCTCCTACCAGTGCTGCGAGAAGCAGTGAAAGCAAGGCTCTTCTCTGTTGTTAATGCTTCTCTTCCTGCCATACACAGGTACAAATACCAACTGCTAAGTGCACCAGCCTCTTCCATCTAGAGCTGAGGATCTCAGAAGGAAAGTATGCCAGAGTGACAGGCTGGTGACATGGACCACAAAGGATATAAAAGGAAGCAGAGAGAACGGAGGCACTCCCTAGCCACAACAAGCTCGCAGAGCGCCTCTGAATTCCTTCACTGGTTTACCACTTTCTCCCAGCCCCCTCTATTTTTCAGCCTGCTCCTAGATCTTTCCATATCCTTAATTCTTTTTTTTTTCTTTTTTTCCTTTTTTTCTTTTTTTCCTTTTTTTCTTTTTTTCTTTTTTTTTTCTTTTTCTGCAGGGCATGATAGGCTTTCCATCTGCCCTTTCTTTCCTGCTGGTCTGTAGCAGGCAGATGGAGAAGCTGATGATTACCCTTGCTAAGGCATCATTTGCAGCACCGAATGATACAAGTACAGAAATTTGCATCCTATAAAAATTTAAACCAAATCTTAGTTTAAATCAAACCAGTAAGTTTGGCTTACCTGTCCACTATATGTGCCATCTCCGTTTCCAAAATTCTGTCCTGAAGGGGTGTGGTGGGTTGACCCTGACTGAGGGCC